GACTAAGAGAATCGTAAGTGGTGGCAGGGTCTTCGCTTTTCGCGAAGAACTGCCCTCGAAAGGCTTCGGGCATAGCCCGATAAAAGAGGTTGACCAACTGGCCCTCTGTGACCCCATGGTTAGGGACGGCCACCAACTCATCCATTGTACCCTTGAGTGCCCTGGCACTCTTCCATTTACGAGAATGGATGGTTTGGAGCTTGTCTGAGGCCTTGACACCGCGAGCGACATCAGCAAATCGCTCGCGCAGCAACTTCAGAAATTCGGTGAGGGACGTAAATGAGGAGTACGCAATGGGATCATCACTACAGTTGGCAGCGCGAACTAGGGACCTTGCAAAACTGGCAGCCTCATCTCTCAGTGCGTGGATAGCAATTAAGACTTGCTGATCTAGGGAGACCTGTTGCAAGTGCACATAGGTCTTAACGTTGGCCTCCCAATTATCAAAGTTTTCCTCCCTCTTCCCGCTGTAGGAATCGGGGAACTTGACTTTGACAGGCTCCCGGCGAGGAAGACGTGCTTCCTCCTCCTTGGGAGCTGCCGCCTTGACGCCTTCAATGGCGCCGGCGCAGAACCGCTCAGTCTTGTCGAGGCGATGACCCACCTTGACTCCAACGGCACCTACCAGTTCGCGAGCAAAGTCTCGAAAGCCCAACCGTATCGAGCGCACCGCTATGTCCTGGCTTCCGCTAAAGTCATATTGGTCTGCCTGAACGCGTGCTAGGCATGCAACGCTTCGAGCTATGACTCGCATTTGATTTGGGAGATCGGGCTGGGCAGCTAATTGCGCCTCTATATTCTTCACTTCCTCTAAGGCCTCTGCCGCCTCCGCTGCCTTGTCAATTCTCCTCTTCTTCTCCCGCATCACCGCTAATTTCCATTCCATCCTCTTCTCGTCTTCCAACGCTTGAYGTTTCAGAGGGTCTTTCTCTGCCTCCGAAGCCTTCATGGCGGCTTCTTGCTGATCCTGCGGGATGTACATACTAACCTCTTCCTCTTCTCCCACAGTCAGGTTGGCAACCCATTCAGATATCCTCTTCTCTAAGTCTCCACCGGTATTACTACTGGGCTGCCCACTACTCCTTTGCAGTGGCGGTCCTTCCTCTTCTTCATCCACCTCCTTCAGCTTCTCTTCTTCTTCCTTTTTCAACTTCTCTTTCTCCCTGGCCATCTCTTCTTCCATCTTCTTTAATTTGGCCGCCTGCTCCTCCTTCAAGGCCTTCTTCTCCTTCTTCTCCTGCAGAATGGCGGCCATCTTCTCCTCCTCCTCCTTCGTGTAAGGGGTGGTGGAAGTCCCACTGCGAGTGGGCCCTACTCTACATGTGAGAGTGGGCCAAAAGCCCAGAGGAAAGAGGAGACGCCAGAGGGTCCCCCAGAGGGAGAACCCAACAAGTAGCCCATACATCGGATAGTCATCCATCGTGGTGTTGGTGCACGACAGGGGTCCCACTCCTCACCACGTAGACCTACCCGGACACTCTAACGTACTGACTGACTCCCTAAGGACCACAGGCAACTAACCCAAGACTACTCTAAGGCTGTCACTACAGAACCAAAAGTTGATCAGGAGGTATTTTAGAAGATCCCCCAACTTCGCAAGAATTCTTTAACVTCGCAGACAGGACGACGCGATCAGCTTGGTTCCTCTGGCGATTTCAGCCCACAACTCAGCCCGTCCAGCCTACTGTGCCACACCGAGCAGCCCGCCGGTYTGTACCGGTCCTTGGAGGGGTTCGTATCCCTCGGGACAGTCGAGTCGTCAGACACAGATCATCAGCCTTACTAGGTGCGGTAGGGGAGTGGCTCAACCAAGCCTCAATACTTAACGATGGCCTTCGTTTCAGCCCACAGCTCAGAGTTCAGACCCACTAAACTGATATTGAAAAACCTGCCGGTCAGTACCGGTTATTGGGCTAGACGAGCTGTTTAACGAGCGCTCGCCGCTCATGCCCAGGTCCTCAAGTCTCAGAGTAGGAGTCCTACTAAGCTCGTGTGGGTTTGGCAGTAAGGCCCTATCCTTCATCCACAGATTCTATCACCTAGAACAGAAGAGACTCAATGCAAAAAGGAGAGACAGACAGACTCTTGACCTCAGCAAGTACCAATGGGTGAGTGTACATCCACGGGGTAGGGAGAAGGCTGAAGGCTTGGCGAGATCTCACCAACTCCAGCTTGGTCAAGTCTTGGTCAACGGCGGCTTGGTCAACGGCCCGGTCAACGCTGGTCAACCTCCTTGGTCAACCCTCTGGTCAACTC